TTTTCATCAGCCCAAAGAATTTCTTAGATACTTCCCCTGGTGGTCCAGTGGTTAAGACTCTGAGCTCCCATTCAGGGGGCCCAGGTTTGATCCCTGGTCAGGGAACTAGATCGCATGCCACAATGAAGATCAAAGATCCCAAGTGCCACAACTAAGACCTGGTGCAGCCAAATAATAAAATAACTATTTAAAAAAACAGGCTATTTTAAAGAATTTCCTATGTCAGCCTGCTAAGAACAAATTATCTTACTTTTTGTACAACTGGAATAACTTTTATGTATTTTGAATATTCTAAGAAAGAGATGGGAATACCAGACCACCTGACCTGCCTCTTGAGAAACCTATATGCAGGTCAGGAAGCAACAGTTAGAACTGGACATGGAACAACAGACTGGTTCCAAATAGGAAAAGAAGTACGTCAAGGCTGTATATTGTCACCCTGCTTATTTAACTTTTATGCAGAGTACATCATGATTGGAGAAGGAAATGGCAACCCACTCCAGTGTTCTTGCCTGGAGAATCCCAGGGACGGTGGAGCCTGGTGGGTTGCCATCTACGGGGTCGCACAGAGTCGGACACGACTGAAGCGCCTTAGCAGCAGCAGCAGAGTACATCATGAGAAACACTGGGCTGGAAGCACAAGCTGGAATCAAGATTGCTGGGAGAAATATCAATAACCTGAGATATGCAGATGACACCACCCTTATGGCAGAAAGTGAAGAGGAACTAAAAAGCCTCTTGATGAAAGTGAAAGAGGAGAGTGAAAAAGTTGGCTTAAAGCTCAACATTCAGAAAACTAAGATCATGGCATCTGGTTCCATCACCTCATGGGAAATAGATGGGGAAACAGTGGAAACAGTGTCAGACTTTTTTGGGGGGCTCCAAAATCACTGCAGATGGTGACTGCAGCCATGAAATTAAGACGCTTACTCCTTGGAAGGAAAGTGATGACCAACCTAGATAGCATATTAAAAAGCAGACACATTACTTTGCCAACAAAGGTCCATCTGGTCAAGGCAATGGTTTTTCCAGTGGTCATGTATGGATGTGAGTTGGACTGTGAAGAAAGCTGAGCGCCGAACAATTGATGCTTTTGAACTGTGGTGTTGGAGAAGACTTTTTTTAAAGAAAAATATTTATTTTATTTGGCTGTTCCTGGCCTTTGCTGCAGCATGTGAGATTAAGTTCCCTGACCAGGGGTTGAACCCTGGCCCCCTGCATTGGGAGCACAGAGTCTTAGCCGCTGGACCACCAGGGAAGTCCCTGGAGAAGACTCTTGAGAGTCCCTTGGACTGCGAGGAGATCCAACCAGTCTATCCTAAAGGAGATCAGTCCTGGGTGTTCATTGGAAGGACTGATGCTGAAGGTGAAACTCCAATACTTTGGCCACCTCATGGAAAGAGTTGACTCATTGGAAAAGACCTTGATGCTGGGAGGGACTGGGGGCAGGAGGAGCGGGGGACAACGGAGAATGAGATGGCTGGATGGCATCACCAACTCAATGGACATGAGTTTGAGTAAACTCCGGGTGTTGGTGATGGACAGGGAGGCCTGGCGTGCTGCGATTGATGGGGTCGCAGTCGGACATGACTGAGCGACTGAACTGAACACAAAATTTTAGGTTAACTTTTATTTTTGCACTTATTTTTTGAATTGATGTATAGCTGAGTTCCAGTGTTGTTGGTGAGATGGTTGGAGGGCACCACCAACTCAATGGACATGAGTTTGAGCAAACTCTGGGAGATGGTGAAGTACAGGGACGCCTATCGTGCTGCAGTCCATGGGGTTGCAATGAATCAGACACGATTAATCAACTGAACAACCTATGTTTCAGGTGCATAGTCAAGTGATTTCAGTTATATGTTCTCTTTCAGATTCTTTTTGATGTTATTGTAAGATACTGAATATAGTTTCCTATGCTACACAGTAGGTCCAGTGTTCACCTTTTTTTTACATAGTACTGTATAGTTTTTACACTTTAAAAATGTCACTCCATCATTTCCTGGATTCCACTGTTTCAAATAAAGTTATGCACCATTTTTGCTTTATTCAGGTGTAATGTCATTTCCCTTTGCTGGCTGTGTCTGATATTTATTTTAATTGATTTGGTTTTGTGCATGTGTGTGTGTTTTGCAAAGGATGTACTCAGATGTGATCTTTGTTGAATTTATTCTGCTTGGAGTTCACTGAACTTCTTGGACCTCTAAGTTCATGTCTTACTACAATTTTGGGAAATCCCAGGCATTACTGCTTCAAATATTTCTGTTGCCCCATTCCCTCCCTGCCCTGTCCTTTTGGATGTCAAAGTACATGTACATTAGACTGACTCTGTCCCACAGGTCTGATATCTGTTTCTTTCTTTCTCTGTGCTTCACTTTGATAATTATATTAACTGCCTTCCTGTTTTCTTATCTCTGATGCACCCAGTTTACTGTTAAGCCCACCCAGTGATTTTTAAAATTTCAGACACTGTCATTCATTTCATAATTTATAATCACAGACTTTCTACTTGGTTTTGAGTTTCTATTTTTCTGCTAAGAAGCCTAATCTATTAATCCATTATTTTCCCTTGTAAATTTTTAAATGTATTTTAAAGCTGTTAAGAAATAATTTTCTGTTAATTCCAAGGTAGTCATCTGTGCTTCTGCTTCTATAGATTTTCTGTTGATTATGGATCATATAATTTTTTCTTTGTATATTTATTATTTTTGCTGGGCTTTGTGAAATTGACATGTTGTAAAGGCTCTGGATCCTGTTTTAACAATGTTTTATTCTGGCCAGCTGTTAAATTACTAAAGAATAACCTTGATGTTGTGAAAGCCTGATTTTAAGCTTTGTTTCAGTAAGTTTCTTCTAGCTATGCCCAGAGTTCTGAAGTACAGTCCTTAGTTCTAGGATGTTGTCCTTCCTCCTCAGCCATGGCCCTTTTCGGGTGTCAATGGAAAACCAGAAGTGTTTACTAAACCCCTCTTACTGGAATTTGAATTTCAAACTCTATTCATCCAGCAACTGCTACAACTACTCTTTGGATTTCAACTACTGCTTTCTCCTGGATTCTTCCTGACTGTCACACTGCACAGGTTTAATTCAGAATCCAACAAGCATTTGAAAAGAATTTGCAGGCAGACTTTGGGACTTAGATCTCTCCTTTTCAAAATTTCCCTCCCAATTTCAAACTGTTCTAGAAGCACAAAATGACTCCTCAGCCCATTAAGACTGTCACATGCTCCTTGAATGCTATTTCGAAGCACACTGCAGATGTTGCAAGTTGCTCTCATGGTGAAACCCAGTTAATGTGGATCTCTTCTAGCATATGATCTTGTGTTGTTTTTGCCCATTTTTGACTGCTCTCTAGTCTTCTAATCACAGCTTCTTATATTTTGTTCAGAGTTTGTAATTGTTATTGGCAAGAGTCAGTTCAATACAAACTACTCCTTCAATACCAGACTACAACCTCTGAAATCTCAAAAAGTTTCAAATAAATTAAAGGCAAAATAAAGTTTATAATTTATTTCCAATCCATTAGGATAAAAACCCACTTATGCAGCTGAATCTTTTAATTCATTTCTTCTGAAAAAAAGTACAAAAGACCAGAGTAAAACTGAGACAAGCATTTAAAGGAAAATCCTTTGACTCAAAGTCCAAAAACAAACTGTAAATGGTTCATTCTACCAAAAGAATTAGTTTTTGTACAAAATATAATAAATTTTACACTATAAACAAAGACTGCTGTATATTAAATTAGAGTTCTAGTATCTCCTTTTCCTCCAATTCTTTCCAAGCACAAAGCATATTTGCAAGTCAGAAACCTAATAACCTCATTTGGCAGACTGTCTTAGAATAAGCTTTTACTCTTAAGATACCTGGAAAGATAGTACTGATTCTTTCCATTGGCTCAAAGTCCAGTACATCAGAAAGTTTTCATTTAGTTTACAAAACTCTGCCACAGTAACATGAAGAGCACACTACGGTTCAAACATTATCTTTCACTAAGTAATATGGCACAGAGCTCAGTGCACAACCTACAAGGTCACAATCTGAGTCTAATATTCTTTCAGAAATCCTTAGCAACTTCTATCTTTATTGAAAAAGATCAAACCAAAACCTTACACATCCTACCATATAATTACTCTACTTTTATGGCCCTTCTATGAGAGAAACACAGCTTAAAATAAAACTTAGGTAATGTAAGTCAAAGAAAATTGTTCTCTAGCACTAAGTTCAATTTCAGACTTGATCAGGAAATTAACTTCCATACATGGATGTGCATACAGTAATATAATTCTGACTCAATGTTTATGACAATATTAATTTTTTATGTAACATGTGAAGTCTGTTATCTAAAACTTTTCCCAATAAATGAGCTACAATTAATGTATATAATATTATGACAATTTTAAAGAAGTTTGTAGTTTAAAAGTTGTAAGTTTAAAGCACAAGGACTTTTAATATAACCTACCAGTTATCAATAATCTTTTTCCAAATGAAAATTAAAAAATGAAATTTTATGAGCTTTATTGAAAATGTTTTAATTTGGGATGTTCACCATTCTTATCATGTATATTTTCATCATCTTTCATTATCAGTATTTTATAATGGGTACTATAATGTTCGAGACCTTAAAAAGATACTACTCATGACCTAAAATATCATGGTTTTGGCTTAAAAATTTTTTTTCTATTTATCTAAACCCTCATTTTTATTATCCAGGGAGTTCTATGATTAGAGGAGACATGATTTAAGTTATAGCTACAAACAGCATGTAATCATACATCTTCTATATTTAGATAAATCTTTAAGATAAGAAAGAGTGAAGTTAAGAAGAATGTATGTCTTCATTATAAAATTCTTATCTAGTGAGGGCAAGTTAACTTTAATATATTTTCTCAAAACCAAAGATATTTTTCCTAAAAAAGAAGTATTTGTTACCACTATAAAATTATTCTTTCCACCCATGACATTTTACATAAAAGCACCAAAGACGATTTCTGTAAACAAACTTTTAACCAGTAAACTAATGGCAAATATCCATTTGCCTTTATTACAATATTTAGAAGGCCATGATATGAGTCTCTACTTCCTACAAGGACATTTTTATAACAAAAACCCACACATACAAACAAGAAATGGAATTACTGTACATTTTTGGGGAACAAAAGGCAGATTAACAGACTAAAACTTTTTAGTTAACAAAGTGAGCACAAGAAACCTATAAAATGTATGCAATGTATAAAAATTCAGTAATTTTTTAAAGTTTCATTGAAGGATTAATAAAACATGGTAGATCCACTGGCTTGTAATTATCCTGTAAACAGTAAGAAAGTAATAAGCAATAAATTAGAAATGTCTTCGTTCCCAGTATTTCCCTCCTCTTGCACAGGAACCACTTTCACAGTGGTTAAAATTGGCTTTCTTAAATATTAGAATAATTCTAGCAGAAAATAAATTCCATTAGGAATAAGTTAACAGTCTACAATAGATCTCTGACAAACATATTAGAAAAAAAATACTACAGGTCACAGGAGGACGGGTCTACATGTTGTATGACAGAGTATCTGAAAACTTCAAAATTTCTCCTTCTCCTTTCACTAGATTTGTTTTGTTTTGTTACTATCGTATTGCTTTCCAAATTGTTTGGTAGAAAGGTAGTAGAAAAAAATAAAAAGTGAAAAGAAAACATCTTTAATGTCTGTAGATGTATGAAGAAGAAAAAAACCTTCAAAATTCTTTTTCCTACTACTGTTACATAGGAAAAAGTTTCATTTGGCACACAATTTGTAAAAAGAAAAAAAAAAAGAAACAGTGTTCGACATTCCAATCACCCAGAGTAAAGACAACAGTAGGAAATGAAAACAGGAAAAATGCCTATCTTAAGAAAAGATGTCAGAAGACAAACCACTAGAGGCTCTCGTGTCTTCTACCATTCACTGTCTCTGGAATACTTTCATCTGCAACATAATATACAAATTACTATTTACATTACGATTATGTTGGTAAAGAAGACCAGATTCCGTTTTTGTTGTGTTTTGACTTACAGTGCCCATTGGGTATCCATGACCATCAAGGCAAGAAGGCCTTAAACAAAAATATTCCATTTGCATTGTATACTTTATTTAAATTTATTTTATGGTTCATCTTCTGGGGTGCACAAGTAATTATAAGACTCTGAAAAGTCCTGTAAACTTAGGCTGAATTTCCGTAGCTGATAAAACTATTCATCGAAGATGTTATGTTTTTCTCTTGAAAAGTAAACATTCTGCAGGCTTACACAGTGGTATCTCCAAAGTCCTTGTTCCAACGTATGTATGCTTCTAAGGTTTGAGGGCTCACACTGCGTTTTATCTTTTTTAAGGATTCGGTGAAGTCAGATAATCGAATATTTCTCATCTAGATATAAAAAAAAGCACACAATACAAATGATTATCACATATATAATAGCCAACCCAATGGTGGCTAAAAATTATGCTTTGTTTGTTAATGTTAAAATATATGTAGACATATTCTTAGAATATCATGCCAATCATCTTATTTTTACATATTATTATATATTAGGCAAGTTTCCTATTTAAGAAATCCTACCAAATAATATACTTTCATTTCATGGGTTTGGCTTCTTAGGTATTAACATTTTAAATCACAGTATTTTCCCACTATAAAAACAAAACACAATCATTACAGAAAACTAGACAAAATATTCGCAATCAGAGAAATAAACACAATCCCACTACTCAGATATACAACCACTATTTGGGTTATCTCCTTCCAATTTTTCTTCTGCATAGTTTCATGAAATTTTACATTCTCAAGTCTCACTCACCACAAGCATACTCTAGCTAAACTCATGTTTCTCAGAAAAGGAAAAAGAGTTTACAAGATGCACATGGGACTCTGAAGGAAATATTGCTCTTAATACAACATGAAGGATGCTTATGTCTAAAAATTTATTATTATTGCTTTTAATACATTTTTGTATTAATTTGATCTTACTTTCTGAGATTTTTAATTGGTTTTGAGAATATAGAATAAAACAAAAATGAGTTAATAAATGAGTTAGTAAATACCTAAGTTTTTAAAAGACAAAATGGAATCTGGCACAAAGTGGTCAATTGAAAATTATCACATATTTACATGTATATTTTGCTCCCAAATAAGAAGAACTGGAGACAAAACTTCAACTGATACTTATCTGTATTTTTTTAATTTACATTTTAAAATTTATTTTAAATTTTATTTATTTATGGCTGCGCTGGGTCTTCAGTGGTGCGTGAGGGCTTTCTCTAGTTACGGAGAGTGGGGGCTACTCTTGCAGGCCCTGGAGCATGCAGATTTCAGTAGTTGTGACACACAGCCTTAGTTGCTCCGCAGCATGTGGAATCTTCCTGGGCCAGGAATCGAACCCATGGCCTCTGCATTGGCAGGTGGATTCTTATCCACTGCGCCACCTGGGAAGTCCTAAAATTTATTTTTAATTGGAGGATAACTGGTTTGTAATGTTGTTAGTTTCTGCCATACATCAACATGAATCAGCCATAGGTATACACATGTCCCCTCCTCTTGAACCTCTTTCCCACCTCCCAGCCCTCTAGCACCAAGTTGAGCCCCCTGCGTCATACACATTCCCACTGGCTACCATTTACGTGTGGTAATGAATATGTTTCAGTGCTACTCTCTCAATTTGTCCCATCCTCTCCTTCCCCTGCTGAGGTACACAAGTCTGTTCTCTATGTCTGTGTCTCTATTACTGCCCTACAAATAGGTTCATCAGTACCATTTTTCTAGATTTCATACGTATGCATTAACACATGGTATTTGTTATTCTCTTTCTGACTTAACTCTGTAAAACAGGCTCTACGTTTATCTACCTCACTAGAACTGACTCAAATTCGTTTCTTTTTATGGCTAATACTCCATTATATATATGTATACAACTTCTTTATTCATTTGTTGATAGACATCTAGATTGCATATATTCTTTTTATTACTCTTATAAAAAACCCAATCTAACTTCTTCATATCCTAATATCAACATTGCATAGATTAAGAAAATTAGTAAGAAAATAGAATGGATTTCCTTGATCTCTATAAAAGGTTGCCATTATTTAGTATTTATGTATTTTTAAATTAGGGCTTCCCTGGTGGCTCAGATGGTAAAGAATCTGCCTGCATTGCAGGAGACCCAGGTCAGTTATTTAATGGATACTTATATAGTAGAATTCCATGGACAGAGGAGCCTGATGAGCTACAGTCCATGGGGTGCAAAGAGTCGACCATGACTAATTGACTAACACTTTCACTTTTTTATGCAGTATTCACTGTTGCCAGACTTTCAGTGCTTTATAAACATCAACTCATAAGCCAGGACTAATAGCTAAAAGCTGTTACCAAATTATTAAGACCATTAGGTTAAAAATAAATTGCATAAAAGTATACAGCAGAAGCAAAAACTTTAACAATGTAACAATGTGGGTAACAATGACACACATTATTAGTGGAATGTTCACAAAAAAGTACTATCATGTTATTTTTTTTATAATTCAGTAGTTTTAAGTTTCAGTACGGCCATCTAAAATTTAGGGACTTCTCTGGTGGTCCAGAGGTTAAGAATCCGCCTTTACAGCAGGGGACACAGATTCGACCCCTGGTTAGGGAACTAAGATCCCATGTGCTGCAGAGCAACTGCTAAAGCCCACGTAGTCTGGAGCCCATGTGCTAGAGAGCCCGTGTGCCACAACTACTGAGCCCGCACACCACAACTAGAGAGTCTGTGCACCACCACGCAAGGTCCCACAGGGTGCAAGGAAGATCCACGTGCCGCCTCGAAGACCCAACACGGCCAAATAAATAGATAAAATTTAGTTTAAAATAATGAAATGGCTTACATATTTTTAAAATACAAGATGCAATTCAAGTAGATATGTTACACTGTAATACTGAAATAAATGTACTCTGTTAGAATGAATTCATGATATTTTAAAAAATTTGTATTTTTAGGCTGTCATTGGAATAGATTAACTTAACATCCAAACTAATAAAAACAAAGCAGTATGCATTTTGACACACAAGTCTTTAAATTATTCTCCATTAAAATGAACCCAGGTTCCTAAAGTTGCTGATTCTAGTCTTGGGATAGGCAATTTCAAGGTGTGCCTTGCTCCCAGAAAGCAACAATGTTTTTCATTGTTCTAAAGTAGAGTTGAGAGGGCTCATCTTAATACAAAAGCAGATTTTGCTGGCCAAGTGTGACCCATTAAACATAAAATTAAGTTGATTTACAGACATGGCAGGTATCTCCTGCCATGTCTCCTAATGATTCCATCTCTTGTTATATATGCCCTTGTGTAATCCCTTCCCCTGAGTGTAGACTGGACCGAAGAACAGACTACAACAAAAGTGCTGAGATGTGACTTCCATGATTAGGTCATCAAGACTATGACTTCCATCCTGCTGGCACTCTCTATTCTCTTCCTGGCTCACTGGCTTTGATGAAGCAAACTACTATGTTGGAGAGGCCTATGTGACAACGAATAGAAGGTGGCTTCCAGCCAATAAACAGAGAAAACTGAGGCTTCCAGGCCAACAACACAAGAGGAAATTAATCTGGCAAAAAAAAAAAAAAACAACCCCCACAAAACACAAAAAAACACATGAGCCTGGAAGCAGATCTTTCTAGTTTAAGCCTTATAATGACTATAGCCCCAGACAACATCCTGATTACAGCTTTGTAAGAAACCCTAGACCAATGCCTTGACTGCAGCCCGCAGAGAGTTTGAAGTGGAGGATTCAGCTAAACTGTGCCCATATTCCTTTCTCTGTGAAAATGTGAGATAATAAACATGTGTCAGTTAAGCTGCTAAATTTTGTGGCAAGTTTTGTTATATGTTAATAGATAGCTATTGCCACAGAATTACCTTGTTTTAAAATCATGACTCTAGAAGAGTTACTAAAAAAAGAAAACAGACTCAATTTATTCTTCAAGTAAAATGGGAACTATATTTAAGTTCAATTTCTTCAATGAAGAAGAAAAATGTTAAAGTTTAGTTGTATGTATAATTCTCAGGATGGGTAAAACATAAAGCTTAATAAATCCACTATCAACAGAAAACAAGTTTCTTTCTTATGAAATAATTATGGACAGATTCCTAAGAATTTCTCCTATTCCCTAAGCCACCCACTTGCTTTCATAAAATTAGTATAAGGTACTAATGAAGTTATATCCAAGCATCCATTTATAGGTTTTTAGTGGCCTTCCGAATGGTTGAAAGTGAAAAAGTCAAAGTGTTAGTTGCTCAGTGGTGTCTGACTCTGCGACCCTATGGACTGGGGCCTGCCAGGCTCCTCTGTCTATGGAATTCTCCAGCCAAGAATATTGGAGTGGGTTTCCTTATTCACAGAAAATGCCAGGGCGGAGGCACTTGAGATAGAGTGAGGAATACTTGCAGACATGGGGCTCAGTGGATTTTGCAGAAGTTGATTAGGAATTAGTAGACAACTTCTTACTAAAAATCATTTGCCAACTGATGGTTATAGTTCATTACTTACGGCCTTGATTAGCTCCTTCATTCTGTATGGTCTGTTCACAGGACCAAGACAGAGGCCAAAAGTGTCACACAATAGACCTTTCTTCAATTTTCATCTAGGGGGGCCAGGGTATATACATGAAATACCAGATTTACCTGTCTTGAGTCCAAGGCAGGGAGAGTGGTGTGTGGGAAAGAAATAATTCATGCACAGTGCTTACTTTTTGGATAGAAAAGCACATATTAGGTTTATGCTAAAAGAACATTTAAAAAATAATATATTGATGGGATAGTGTTAATAATTTATACATAAGCAAAAAAGCCCTCAAAACACTTAGTACTAATATATTTTTTTTAAGTTAGAAATATAGGGAATCAATGAGTCAGATAAGAGGAACATGAAACTATACTTTAAATGTGAATTTTAAAGGTAATCATAGCTAAACACCAAAGTATATGATATGTGGAATTTTTTATTCCTAAAAAGCTTCATTCATGCCACATACACTCCAGGTAAACTAGACTGTTGCAATGGAAAAGGGTGGTTGCAAGAAGTGTGAAGGCTTTCTTAGTAACGTAGCTGGTTAACCACCATGCACAAGATGCCTGAAGATAATAACCTCAAATTTACTTGGAAGCTTGAAGAAAAAGGACTGCCAAAATGTACTCATACTCAAGTACACTCATTCTCTACATTAAGATTTTACTATTAATACTTGGACAGGATTGTCTGCAATGTGCAAAACCCTTGCCAGCCTCCAGTCCACGTTTCTGGGGGTTTTTGTTGGTTTTTTTTTTTTTTTTGGAGTTCACACTTGAACTCCAGTGGAGTTCTATTCTCTATTCTATGCCAAGAATGAAGTCTCTTTGGTTAGTAATGTCTCAGGTGCTATCTGAGCTCCAAGAAATAAGTTACATAATTTAAATCTGATTTAAAATGTCTGATTACATAGTTATGATCATTCTGCATATCCAATTCTATATTTTGCAGGCAATTTTTTTCAAAAGTAATGCTTCAGCATCTCATAAGGGGACCTACCATACTTTTAAGATTTAACAAATTATGTTACAATGGAAACTGTATTGCTTTTATAAGAAAGAAAACAAACATTACCTGTTATATGCCATCTTTACAGTGTATAAAATTCTCAAGTTGCCTATAAGTTTGTTTTGTTTAGTATTTATATAATGATTTGACAGAAAATGATTTAATTATTATCTATAATATATTTTGTGCATTACCAAAGGACACCAAAGGAGACCATCATTTGACAGTCCTCCATATTTTGAAATGAAGCAAAAGTAATTTTTTTTCCGGTTTCTAATCAAACTGGAAAAATCCAGACAAAAGATACATCTTACAATCCACAGGGCCAGACAAAAGAAAGATAATTATAAAACAATTTACCTCACTGGCAGACATATTCTTCACTTGTTCTGGTTTCAGTTCTGTAAAATATAAAAATGAGCCACTTAGAGAAAAAAAGACTTCCAAGTTTAAATTAACAAAGTTCAATAATCTAAAAGTACATGTTCAATATAAATCATTATATTGAGAAAAACAGAATAATAATAAGAGCACATAGAATTTATAAATGCTTAAACTAATATTCTTTCCTAGAAGTCATTGGTTTCTTCATATATTGCTCAAGAACAATAGAATCTATAAATCTGAAAGTAAACTTAAAATAATGCAACTTCTTTACAAAAGTCATTAGTTGTTTTAAGTCAACAACTTTTTTTCCCCCAGAATAACAGCTAACATATCCCCCAAAATACAAGCGATTTCTACATTAGCTAACGTTTCTGAGTTCAGTATCTGAACAAGATGTTATGTCTCCAGCATAATGAAAGCTTGACTAAAATGCTTGACTAAAAGCTTGACTAAAACCCAGAGTTTCAAAATATATTCTCAAGGTTATATTTATTACTCTCTAAAGCAGCAGTTCTTAACCAGTAGTCTGTTTGACTGTGAGAGAGAGATTCTGAAGTTGCATGTTCCATGTTCTATTTTGCCATCATAACCAGTAATCAGAGTGCAAACCTGGGAGCATCACCCGTCCACTTCCCATGCTGCCTGTGGAAAAGCAGCTGAGAACATCTACTCTAAAGTGATTATCACCGAGTTTAACATAACCTAACAATGACAGATGTGGTACTTCAGAATCAAACAAAGCAATGAATGATATACTTTGCTGCAATTTTTCAAAAGATAACATATAATGATAAAAGTAAAAATATATATTTATATAAGTTTCCTTACACACATTAATTTCAAGTGATATTCAAATACTGAACTGAAAAGAACCATAAAATAGATAAGAACATTTTCCCTTTATTATTCTTTTTCACTTGCTTTAAAAAGCTCTCTTATTCTTGAGGGGTTTTTTTTTTTTTTGCTGCTAACCTACTATCAAGTTGCAAAGTCTGCTGTCTAGAACAAGGTTCATGGTACAATGATCCATGGACTGTCCTTATATGGTCTGTGAACTAAGAATGTTTTCACATTTTCTGTGTTGTGGGGAAAAAAGGGGGGGAGGGGCACGAAGGAGGAGGATGAGGAGAAGGAAGAGGAGGAAGGAGGAGAATGAAGAGCAGGAAAAGGAAGAGAAAGAAGAAACAGCAAAAGCAGTATCAACAGCAACAGCAGAATATGCTACAGAGAGCATATGTGGCCAATGAATCTAAAGCTTTTCTCAGAAAGGTTACTTAACCTTAAGTCTAGAAACTCTGTATCAAGTTTTAATGAAGTTTTCCACTGATTCAGCTTTACTGCTTTCCAACGAATAAAAAAGACCTCTCACAGAGTCCGAAATTTTGTTCTGTACATCTGTGTCTCTTTTTCTGTTTTGCATATAGGGTTATCGTTACCATCTTTCTAAATTCCATGTATATGCGTTAGTATACTGTATTGGTCTTTATCTTTCTGGCTTACTTCACTGGTGCCCTGGGAAGACCCAGAGGAATTGGGTGGAGAGGGAGGTGGGAGGGGGGATCAGGATGGGGAATACTTGTAAATCCATGGCTGATTCATGACAGTGTATGACAAAAACCACTACAATATTGTAAAGTAATTAGCCTCCAACTAATAAAAATAAATGGAAAAAAAAAAAGACCTCTCAATAAGGACTTCTTAAACTTCTGAATGGTATAATAAACAGTTCTAAATGTTTAAAGCTTTGGAATTCCTACCTCTGATAGGACCCAGTGCTGCATCCTTTGCCAAAGCTGTTAGGTCACTGCCTGAGTATCCATCGGTCATTCTGAGAATAAGAAGGAAGAAAGAGCAAGTTATTTTTACCTTTCAAGATTTAAAATTGCCACATAATAAGAGGGTAAAACCCTAGTTGGCCTTTGTCATCAAGCAGACAGCTACATGATTTGATTTTTAAGGGCACAGGAAGGCCCACTCACTAAAAACAAAACAACCTACTGGTTCCTTATAATGCCTCAAATTTTCACCATTAGAACCATTCCCTTTTTATTTTTTAATTAATTTATTTTAATTGAAGGATAATTGCTTTACAGAATTTTGTTCTCTGCCAAATATTAACATGAATCAGCCTTAGGTATACATATGTCCCCCCTCCCTCATGAACTTCCCTCCCATCTCCCTCCCCACCCCACCCCTATAGATTGCCACAGAGCCCCTGTTCGAGTTTCCCAAGTCATAAGAGCAAATTCCCACTGGCTATCTATGTCCACAAACGGCACTGTAAGTTTCCATGTTACTCTTTCCATACATCTCACCATCTCCTTCCTCCCCCACCCCATGTCCGTAAGTCTGTTCTCTCTGTCTGTTTCTCCACTGCTGCCCTATAAATAAACTCATGAGTACCATCTTTCTAGACTCCATATGTATGGGTAGTGTGTGATATTTATATTTCTCTGACTTACTTAACTCTGTATAGTAGGCTCTAGGCTCATCCACTTCATTAGAACTGACCCAAATGCATCCCCTTTTTATGACTGAGTAATATTCCACTGTGTATAGGTACCATAGATTCTTTATCCATTCATCTGTTGATGGACATCTAGGTTGCTTCCATGTTCTAGCTATCGTAAATAGTGCTGCAGTGAACACTGGAGTACATGTGTCTTTTTCAATTTCGGTTTCCTCAGGGTATATGCCTAGGAGTGGGATTGCTGGGTCATATGGTGGTTTTATTCCTAGCTTTTTAAGGAACTGCCATACCATCTTCCATACTGGCTATATCAATTTACATTCCCACCAACAGTGCAAGAGCCTTCCCTTTTCTCCACACCCTCTCCAGCATTTATTGTTTGTAGACTTTTTGATGATGGCCATTCTGACTGGTATGAAGTGGTATCTCATTGTGGTTTTGATTTGCATTTCTCTAATAATGAGCGATGTTGAGCATTTTTTCATGGGTTTGTTAGCCATCTGTATGTCTTCTTTGGAGAAATGTCTGTTAAGGGACTTTTCCCCACTTTTTGACTGGGTTGTTTGTTTTTCTGGTATTGAATTGTTTGAGCTTCTTGCATATTTTGGAAATTAATCCTTTTTAAAGTTGTTTCATGTGCTATTATTTTCTCCCACTTTGAGGCTTTTCTTTTCACCATGTTTATAGTTTCCTTTGCAATGCAAAAGCTTTTAAATTTAATTAGGTCCCACTTGTTCATTTTTGCTTTTAATTCCATTACTCTAGGAGGTGGGTCATAGAGGATTTTGTTTTGATTTTTTATGTTGTCAACTGTTCTGCCTATGTTTTCCTCTCAGAATTTTATAGTTTCTTGTCTTACATTTAGGTCTTTAATGCATTTTGAGTTTATCTTTGTGTATGGCATTAGGAAATAGAACCATTCCTTTAGATTAAGGTATGCTGCATCTCCAGGAGACTCCATTAAGTTGTAAATACGTGCCTGGGAAAGGTTATAGCAATAAACCACTGCTGGCCAACGACACATAACTGCAATCACTTCTCTACAGATTAATGAGTCTCTATCTAGACCAAGAACTGCCTTGATGGACTGAGGGGCAATCAAGGAAGAGTTCTTCATCTGTAGGACACTCTACAGGACAGACAGGGTGAAGGAAGGGTCTGGGGTAGAAGACATTGGCAAAAAGAGGTACACCTGAATGGGATGCCACAGTGCGAACGCCTGGGCAGCCAAGAGATTATTAAAGGGAGCTAAGAACTAGGGAAGTCAAGAGGAGGAGGAAAATAGAACAGGAAAAAAACATTTACTTATCATGCACTCTGTTAAGTAACTGCAGAAACATTATTAGCGGATTTTTTACTGGAATAACAAAGAAGGCTCTCAATAGTTCCAAGTACTGAATTTGTATAAGGCTCTCAATATTTCCAAGTACTGAATTTGTTCTTTTTTCATAGGTATCTAGGAACTCAAGAGTTTTTACTAACAATACTAACTATTCACATTCTTGTTGAATATTTTAAATTACTTTTTCAGTTTTTTCCAATGACTAAAAATGCACGAGTGTATCTCCTATACTCAGTTTCTACTTAATACACCACTTATAAAAAAAGTTGAAGATGTCAAAGTTTAAAAAAAATTATGTGTAATATAAAAGAACAAGTTTAAGTGAAAATACCTGTTGGTGTGGGCAAATATGCAATGTTTTACATCTGAACAATTATTTTAATACAACTTAAGTTTATAAAAAAAATATAGTACCATCATTAGCAAATAGCTAATAGGTCATGTCTTCCAGAGGATTTAGAAAATGAAATTTAGGTATCATACATAAGAAAATGAGATAAGTGAGAAGATAAAGGAAGTAGAGAATGAAACAAGTTTTCAGATAAATTACTCGTTTCAGACATGAGCTTACTTTAAACAAAACAGAAAAAAGACTTCTTAAAAATAAAGAAAAGCTGCAGGACAGACGAAATCAAATCACTCACCTAGCAAGTTGAGCTAGTTCTTTTTGGGTCAATGGGCTTCCTTGTTTACATAGTAGATTTTTTAATAAAAGTAGTCGTGTCTGAAAAGAAATATTAAAGAATTATCAGTCCTAAGAGTTAGCTTAATAAAATATCCAGGAGTTAGGTTCAAATCCTAACTCTCATTTAGAAGCTCTATGATTTTACACAAAACACTCTACCTCTTACAGTCTCACTTGTATTTATTAAAATGACAATTTTTTGAAAGTTCCTAAAAGAGTTAAAACTAATCCAAATAAAGCACTAAGCAAATAGCTGCTGCTACCACCAAGGATGTTAAGGGTCTGAGGCAGACAACCACAATTTAAAGCTATGGATTCATATATAATGGACTCTCACCCACTTTAAGTCTATAATTCAGTGACTTTTAATAAGATTAGAGTTGTGCAACCATCACCATAATCCAACTTTAGAACATTTCTATCACTCCAAAAAGCTCATCTGTGTCTGTGTGCAATTAATTCTGACTTCCACCCAAAGCCTTAGCTAACCACACTCTACTTTATGTTTCTAGGAATAGCCTTTTTTTAGACACTTCATATAAATGGAATCATATAATAGGTAATCTTTTGCATCTGGCATCCCGCACTTAATCAAATGTTTTTGACCATATTACAGTATGTGAAAGTGCCATATATGGAATGGTATGGTACCGTTCAGCAATAAAAGGAATAACCACATTTGTTTATCTATTCACCAATTGATGACTAGATTTTTTTGCAGTTCTTGGCTATTATTTATAATGCTGTTGTAAAAATTCTTGTACATCTCTGTATAGATATATGTTTTCATTTCTTGAGTAGAATCTTTTAAATAAAATTTTAGAGTCTTACATGCATGCTCAGTTGCTAAGTCGTGTCTGATTCTTTGCGAACCTATGGACTGTAGCCTTCCAGGCTCCTCTGTCCATGGCATTTCTCCAGGCAAGAATACTGGAGTGGGTTGCCATTTCCTCCTCCAGGGGATCTTCCTGACCCAGAGACTGAACCGCATCTTCTGCGTCTCCTGAGTTGGCAGGCAGATTCTTTAGCACTGCGCCACCTGGGAAGCCCATGGGGTCTTACAGTAAGTTTTATCTTTTTAAGAAACTGCCAAACTGTACCATGTATGTACAGCTGTACATGTATGTATATGTACAGCTGTACATACATGCAACTGTACCATGTACTAGAAGACATAATAATGTTAAATGGTAGATCTTGTTTCTGCCTAAAATTAAAAAGTTCAAACATGGATACATACCTCCTCATTTGGCAAAGACACATAAACCCGTTTGGTAAAACGCCTAAAAAAAGGATTCAAGCAATCTCAGAAATACAGTTTTGAATTTAAATAGCAAATAACAAAAACAAAGCTTTAAATATAATGCTCAAGGCATTTGAATACATTTTAGTAGTCATCAGTGTAAAAAGGCACTCTTTTAAAACATTCTGGTTAAATATATAAAATAGATAACTAATAAGGATCTACTGTATATACCACAGGGAAGACTACCCAATACTCTGTAATGACCTATATGGGAAAAGAATCTAAACCAGAGTGGATACATGTGTATGTGTAACTGACTCACTCCACTGTACACCTGTACCTGACAGAACACTGTAAATCAACTATACTCCAAAAAAACTAAAAAAAATTCTAGTTAATGTTTAAAAATCCTTAGTATTGTCAGAACTAAATTAACCATTTGTGTATCTGTATTTTTTAACAGTAGTTAACACTTTAAAACAAAATATCTGATACAAGAAGTTGAAGAAACAGATCTCTGCTATCTCCTTGAAATTGAAAACAACTAAAACCAACAAGAACAACAGAAACAGAAATGTAAACTCCATCATCAGCAAACTAGGTAATGTTTACCGAACTAAAACGTACGAAGAAGGCATACCTAGGGCAGTGAAAATTACACCTACAAAAGTGAATACAGACAGGACCTGCCACTGCAAATTCCAGACACGGTTGTCAGAGCAGTTTTCCAGAGGAGACAGAGAACACTCTGAGGGGCAATAAAACTAACCTCTCCACATTTAAACAAGCACGTGAGGACTGGCTCTGCAGACCATGTGACCCTAGTCAGTAGTAAAGGAATGACAAGGAAGATGAGGCTGAGAAAAGAAACTCAAAGACACAACATCTTTGTAAGAAGACATCAGTCAGTCTAAGGACAAGCTGTCTTGAAATGGCCAATCTTTTTCAGTTGAAGAAGACTAAACCGACCCAATCTCTTATTTATATACACGTACACTTCTTTACCAGGTGGGGTATGTTGTGAGTCAAGGAGACTGCCCACCAGTCTAGGGTATATAGGACAATTCAAGATATTTGCCTTGCTATCTTACTTTTCTAGCTCTTCTACAACATCCTTCCAAAATTAGGTTCTCCAAGAATACTCCCCTATTCAAATAAAATAGGCAAAACAGACAAAAGCATAGGACTGATTTTAAAAAACAGTACCAAAAAAAGAGGCGAAAGAACACAGTAAACATAAAATAGATAAAATGAAGAACATTCACAAGAGGATTTTGCCATAAAGCAAATTAAAATTGTGACTAAATGTCTTTCCAAGAAAATAATTTAATGAAAAAAAAAAAAGGCTCCTATGAAATAAGAACTCAATGAGATAGAAAGGTTCAAAGAAGTAAGACAACAAAAGATGAAAAATGGGGTTGCAAAGAACAGGAAAGCAATAAAAAAGAAAACAAAACCCACCACAGAAACAAAGGTCACAAAAGTAACAGTAGTAGTAGAAAAGAGATTAGACACTAACCCTACTGGGTTAACCCATAAATGTGAATAAAAAGCAGGCTGGCTTCAGACTTTCACACTGCAACATCCAGTCTTAGAAACAACAGGCAATGTTACAAATTCCTCAGGAAAAGATGGGAGGTCCAAGAATTTTATGTTGAGTCAAACTGTCCTCCCAGTAGAAAGGGAACACATTTGCTCAAACACACGAGAAGAGAGAATGCACTCCCATGAACTGTGTTAGCAGGGTAAAAATCAGTTTGGGAGTTTTAAGATACTTTAATCCAACCAAAAAGAAATAAGCAATTTGCCTAAAACTATAAAGTTAAAAATAGTTTTCCTGATATCATGCTGGTCCTGTCCTCAAAAGTTTTGTTTACTAACAAGAGGCCAGAAGATGGATATAGAGAGGAAAACAATGAATTTAGTCTTCACACTGAGAATGAAAGAGACACGTACACTTCTTTAAGTATAATGCTTAAAATACAAAAGATACGTGACAAAAAAATATGTGAGACGAATGAAGGAGTAAATAACCTATAACAAATGTGTGCGTTTCCACATAAATTTCCCTACCTGAGGACAGCTTCATCAAGCTCTTGCGGCCTGTTAGTTGCACCCATTACAAGCACTCTGTCATCTCCAGCAGACTGTACCTATAAGTCAAATTTTTTTTTCAATACTTTTAAAGTAATAAAAACACAATGAAGATGTCTATTTCTAATTTGGGCCATTCAGTTGGAAAATACATACACTAAAATGCTACCACATAAAAATATCATAATCAATACGTACACCATCAAATTCTATTAGAAATTCAGTTTTTAGACGTCTGCTAGCATCATGTTCTCCTTCTCTTCTTTCACACAAAAGGCTATCAACTTCATCTAGAGGAAATACAAGGATGAAACTTTAATTAAAACCCAAGCTACATGAGTGATCTGAGACTAACCTAGTTTACTGTTTAGGTTTTTAATATAATGTATACTAGTCAATTTGTTGGATAGTCTTTAACCTTGTGCTTTTTAAAAACTTTTTACTTCTGCAACTATACGTCAATAAAAATTAAAAAAAAAAACTTTTTACTTCTGAATAATCTTTCCTATCATTCCCTGACATTTGGGAGAAGGAAATTTTACACATGTTCAACTAAGCTGTTGGCAGACATGTTCTTACCTATAAAAATTATGGAAGGCTGAAGTTCTCGAGCCACGGCAAAAAGAGCTCTCACCAACTTCTCTCCTTCGCCCACCTAAGACAAGGCATCATACACTGTTAAACCCATAAAATCAAGGCTGCTCCCTCCGGCTTTTATAACTTCACTACTGAAATCTAGTACCTAAGAATTTAACTGCTCTTTCTTTACAGCAACCAAAGATCTGGTTTAAAGAATAGGAGTGGGGGGGTTATTGATTGTTCCTTATAATACTAGTAAATAGACTACTTATTTATTATTTAAGAGAATCTGGTGAGTACTTTAAAAAAACAAAATATATCTCTGTCTTGTTTCACTATGCATTCCTAAGACTTGAGATTGGGATGTAACTACTGAGAAGAGGGAACACCAGAGGACAGAGGGATGCAGGAATATACCTTAAGCTTTATTTAGGCTGCAGGGTGTATTTATAGAAGCACGTAAATTAGAACGTGCTCCAAAATCACTGCAGATGGTGACTGCAGCCATGAAATGAAAAGACACTCCTTGGAAGGAAAGTTATGACCAACCTAGACAGCATATTAAACAGCAGAGACATTACTTTGTCAACAAAGGTCCATCTAGTCAAGGCTATGGTTTTTCCAGTGGTCATGTATGGATGTGAGTTGGACTGTGAAGAAAGCTGAGTGCCGAACAATTGATGCTTTTGAACTGTGGAGTTGGAGAAGACTCTTGAGAGTCTCCTGGACTGCAAGGAGATCCAACCAGTCCATTCTAAGGAGATCAGTCCTGGGTGTTCACTGGAAGGACTGATGTTGAAGTTGAAACTCCAATACTTTGGTTACCTGATGCGAAGAGCTGACTCATTGGAAAAAACCCTGATGCTGGGAAAGATTGAGGGCAGGAGGAGAAAGGGATAAAAGAGGATGAGACAGTTGGATGGCATCACTGACTCAATGGACATGAGTTTGGGTGGACTCTGGGAGTTGGTGATGGACAGGAAGGCCGGGTGTGCTGCGGTTCATGGGGTTGCAAAGAGTCGGACACGACTGAGCGACTGAACTGAACTGAACTGAACTCCTAAACAAAACTTGCTCTACTAAAAACATCTTGAAAATCCATTCTCACAATACCACTGTCAATAAATGTCAAAGCATTTCTAGGTAGTCCAGGTGGTCTATGAACACTCCTTAAGACATTATCAGGGGCTTGAACACTATACTAAAGCCATTCTATACACCAAAGCATCTATGCTTCGAAAGGGTCATGAGGTTTGCAGTAATCTACTACATAAACTACTTTGTCCTCTAGGTGGCATCTGTTTTTACTGAATATTAAATTAAAAAAAAAAAAGGAAAAGCCTCAGATTTAGATTCTGCAAAACAAATATTCTCAGAGCCAGAAGGAACTGTGAGAGATCACCTCTTATGACTTCAACACTGTAAGATTTCCCTGGTGATCCAGTGGGTGAGTCCACCTCTCAGTGCAGGGAACCTGGGTTCAAACCCTTATCTGGGAAGATTCCACATGCTGTGGGAACAACGAAGCCTGAGGGGCACAACTACTGAGCCCCTGCTCTGCAATGAGAGAAGCCACCACCAGGAGAAGCCTGTGCATCGCAACAACAGAGCAGCGCCTGCTCATCACAACTCGAGAAAGCCTGCACGTGGCAATGAAGACCCAGCCTAGCCAAAAATAATACATTAAAAAAAAAAAAAAGCCACTTTATAAAGGAAGTAAAACCTAAAGTGATACTTTCTTAAGGCCAGTTCTATATCTAAGTTAGGTTGGCATCCCTACCTCCTAACTTCCAGGAGACTGTTCTCTGCTGTAGTATGTGCATAATATAGGTAGCCTACTGTAACAACAGTTTTACTTGTAAAATTTCACACAGGAAGCAGAACTTAACCAGGAAAAGTATCACTATATAGTTACTTTTAATTACTTTACAAAACTGAGACCTCTGCCGGTACCTGATCTTGTACTTCTAGCCTCCAATTCTATTGTTCAAGCCAGCTAGTCTGTGGTACTTTAATACACAACCCTAATAAACAAATCTCACAGAAAAATTTCACTTTTAAACGAGCCAACAAATGCACGTAACTTTCTACTTTTAAGAGTAAAAAATAGATATTTAAATAATATGTAAGTAATAGATATAAAACTCATAGAAAAACATCTTCACATAATGTTATTGCCATTTATTCTTAACACAGTAACATTTAGCCAGTAACTTAAAGCATGACAATACTGGAAAAAGAACACTCACATATTTTGAAGTTAAACTTGCAGCACTTATATTAAAGAAGGTTGCATTAGATTCTGCAGCTACTGCTTTAGCCTTTAAAAATCAGAAGGGTAAATATATTAGTTCAATTGCTTTAAAAAGATAACCACATGTGATCAACTTAATTTCTAGAAAATATTTCCTAAAAACATAAGGTATGACACAATTTTCAACAAATAGCAATCAATGCATTTCCTTCTCAGCAATGAGGAAAAGGTGCAGGAGGAGCTGTGCTTCTTCTCACTCTCTTTTCTCTGAGATGTCAAAGGGACAGGTTGAAAAAAAAAAAGAAGGGTGTGTTATTCTCTTCCCAGTTATAGAAGATAACTGGTTAGAGAAAGATAAACAGCTAAAGGAAAAAGTTACTCTTTCCCTATTTAGTTTCCCTGTAGCAGAGTCATGCAGGAAAAGAGGTATTCAGATTCTAGCAAAAACTTCTGGCAAAACGATATAGAAAAAAACAATCTGTTGTATGTCAGTTATGCCTGAATTAGAAAAAAAGAAAGGAAGAAATCTGTATCAGGCTGATTATTTTATTTAAATAAACCTGCTAAAATAGAAAAAAAAAATCAGAGATTAGGAAGATATTCAATATAGTAAGGTAAGCTCTTCCAGGGCAAAATTTTAATATTTAACTTGGGAAAATAATGAAAATTATACTGTTCCCAGCATCCAACTAATACTGGAGATAACATATATGGTTTTTCACCTATCTTCATCATTAAAAACTAGCTTAAAACCTGGGAGTTCCCTGGTGGTTCAGTGGTTAGTACTGAGTGCTTTCACTACCATGACCCTGGATTCAACCCTGATCTGAAAACTAAGATCCCGCAAGGTGCGCAGTGTGGAGGGAGAGGAAGAGGGGGTAGGGAGAAAGTATATAACAAAAAGCAAATCATAAATAACAGATTCAGTGACAATGAAATGTTTCTTTTATTCATATTATACTCTTAATATCTCAATAGAACGCACCAATTTAAAAAGAATTCTTACCAGCATTGTTTTCCCATTTCCAGGTGGACCAAAGAGTAACAAGCCTCTGGCAGGAGCCCTAAGCCCTGTGAACAACTTAAAAATACATACTTTAGTTCACAACTGTGATTCTGGAGACATTTTTTCCAGACATATTGAGTATTAATTGTGATCTAAAAAGTATTATTTGTTATTAGTAGCATCCTCCCAAAGAGAGTTGCCCAGAGCTCTAAAGAGAACATATAATCAATAAATTACTATAATTACCAAAAACAGAAGAAAACAAAGTGAAATAAAACCAAATTCCTATTGATCAAGCTGAAAGCAACTGAGCTTCCCTGGTGGTCCGGAGGTTAAGAATCCACCTGCCGATGCAGGGGACACAGGTTCAGACACAGGTCTGGGAAGACGCCACAGGCTGTGAGGCAACTGCCCGTGAAGCACAACTCCTGAGCCCACCAGCTGCTGAACCTTGTGCGCCCCAGAGCCTGTGCTCCGTAACAGGGAGCCGCCACCACGAGATGCCTGTGCTCCGTAACAGGGAGCCGCCACCACGAGATGCCCGTGCTCCATAACAGGGAGCTGCCACCACGAGATGCCCCATGCTCCACAACCAGAGAGTAGTCCCCGCACACTACAACCGGAAAGCCCCCTCGTGGAGCAACGGAGACCCAGTACGGTCAAGATAAAAATTAAACACATTTTAAAAATACAGTTAAAAAACTGAAAGCAGGCTGATCAAACAAGACATACTGAACAAAGAATGTTTCTCCACTTCTTTTAGAAATCTCACCAAAATAACAGTAAATGAATGAAAAAAGAAATAAATCTTCAAAACAACAAAAAAAGGAAACAACAGGGGACACAAATTTTGTAGATGGTAAACTGATAAAGTGTGGTCAATTATTTAATGGAGTTGGAGCTACACCTAAGCGCCTGCTTGTGAAGGGATACACAGATACCAGGAGCAAGCTGACATGAACAAAAAACCCTGGAAAAGCTCTGGAATTGGAGGAATCAGGTATGGGAGAAAGCACTAGTAAGGCAGTTGGCCAAAAGCAGGGAACTGACCGAAAGCCTGTGTGAGGAACCACGGAAACCACGCTCCTGCCCCAACCAAGAGCATGCGGCAGGCCCTGCTCTTCCACAACAAAAGGAGGCAGATGCTTTCTTTTCTAGACACATTAAACCACAGCTGCCAAACGCAAGGACACCAGGCACGGCAGGCATGAAGGGTGAAGAGCCACCTGACAACATTTTACTAAACAGTCAAAGTGTATGTGCTTTTAAGCTGAACCATATGAAGTAACTGATATTCAACTTAGAGACAAAATTTTATTTCAGTGGGTTCAGGTTTACAGAAAATTTAATGGAAAGGACAGTTTCCATGTAACTCCTCACCTCCCCCACTACCGCTATTATTAACATCTTGCATTGGTATGGTACATTTAATACAGCTGATGAATACTGATACATTATTATTGAGGTAACTTCAGGGTTTACATTAGGGTGCGCTATTTGTGTCAAATAGTTACCATCAGTTTCACATAGAACAGTTTCACTACCCTAAAAACTACCTTCTCCACCGTCTATTTAACCTTCCCGTCCTCCCCATGAATGCTTGGCAACCACTGATCTTTTTACTGTCTCCATAGTAATTCTAGTTGGAATCATACAGTATTAGCCTCTTAAGATTGTCTTGACTTAGCAATATGTACTTAATGTTCCTCTGTGTATTTTCACAGATTGATAGCTCATTTCTTTTTAGTGCTGAATAATATTTCATTATTACAGATATATCATAGCTTGCTTATACATTTAACTACTGAAAACCATCTCAAATGAACAAAGGTTAAAGTATTTGCTTTAAGTAATTCTGAGAATCAATTAACTCAAGAATGTATTTTTAATATTATTTATCTCCTTCAAGCCACTTTTAGTGTTCAGTAACTTAATTACTGTTGTTGAGAAAGCCTTACAAATAGCTGAGAAAAGAAGTGAAAGGAAAAGAAGAAAATGAAAGATATATCAATATGAATTCAGTTACATCGTGAAGTCAAGTGGACTCAGGAAGCATCACTAAGAACAAACTTAGTGGAAGTGATAGAATTCCAGTTGAGCTATTTCAAATCCTAAAAGATGATGCTGTTAAAGTGCTGCACTCAATAAGCCAGCAAATATGGAAAATTCAGCAGTGGCCACAGGACTGGAAAAGGTCAGTGTTCATTCCAATTCCAAAGGGCAATGCCAAAGAATGTTCAAAGTACAGCACTATTGCACTCACTTCATATGATAGCAAGGTAATGCTCAAAAATCCTTCAAGCTAGGTTTCAACAGTATGTGAACCAAGAACTTCCAGATATACAGGCTGGATTTAGAAAATGCAGAGGAACCCAAGATCTAATTGCCAATGTGCATTAGATCATAGAAAAAGCAAGGCTATTCCAGAAAAACACCTATTTCTGCTTCACTGACTATGCTAAAGCCTTTGACTGTGTGGATCACAAAAAAACTGTGGAAGATTCTTAATGAGATGGGAATACCAAACCACCTTAACCTACCTCCTGAGAAATCTGTATGCAGATCAAGAAGCAACAGTTAGAACTGGACATGGAACAATGGGCTGGTTCAAAATTGGGGAAGGAGTACGTCAAGGCTGTATACTGTCATGCTGCTTATTTAACTTACATGCAGAGTACATCATGTGAAACGCCGGGCTAGGTAAAGCACAAGTCAAAATCAAGACTACTGGGAGAAATATCAATAACCTCACATATGCAGATGACACCACCCTAATATTAGAAAGCGAAGAGGAAATGAAGAGCCTCTTGATGAAGGTGAAAGAGGAGAGTGAAAAAAGCTGGCTTCAAACTCAACATTCAAAAACTAAGATCATGGCATTGGGTCCCATCACTTCATGGCAAATAGATGGCAAAACAATGGAAATAGTAACAGACTTTATTTTCTCGGGCTCTAAAATCACTGCAGATGGTGATTGCAGCCATGAAATCAAAAGACACTTGCTCCTTGGAAGAAACGCTATGGCAAACCTAGACAGTATATTAAAAAGTAGAAACATTACTTTGCTAACAATAGTCTGTATAGTAAAAACTACGGTTTTTCCAGTATACAGATGTGAGAGCATAAATAAGGCTAAGCACCGAAAAATTGATGCTTTTGAACTGTGGTGTTGAAGAAGACTTTTGAGAGTCCCTTGGACTGCAAGCAGATCTAACCAGTCAATCCCATAGGAAATCAATCCTGAATATTCATGGGAAGGACTGATGCTGAAGCTCCAGCACTTTGGCCACCAGATGTGAAGAACTGACTCATTGGAAAAGAGCCTGATGCTGGGAAAGATTGAAGGCAGGAGTAAGGGATGACAGAGGTCGAGATGGGTGGATGGCATCACTGACTCAATGGACATGAGTTTGAACAAACTCTGGAAGATGGTGAAGGACAGGGAAGCCTGGCGTATTGTAGTCCACGGCGTTGAAAAGAGTCAGACATGACTGAGTGACTGCACAAAAACAAAACTTAATTATGCTTCCATGTTTTTAAGATGAAATAAAAATTCTAGCACTGTAAAAAAATGAATAAATGCATCACGATGACTGTCATACCCAACTTTCCAATCTAGCCTAACAATATCCCCATTGTGATCCATGCAAGCTCCCCACTGTGGAGAATTAAGACTAAAGCTGATCTGTTGCACAATAAAGGTGCTTTATGAAATTAACTCTGACCCATGATCCATTTTACAGTCTACTGTGAAAAGATGAGCTAGGACAATCATAGTCTCTTTCTTGGGAATCTTAACAAGAATTATAAAAACGTTCAAATTGGCAGGTGCAGAGATAAAGAGACAAATGGTCCAAATCCTGAGATCTGGCTCTACCTCAGATGCTGTTCCTCCTCAAGATCCAATTCAGTACATTTACTAAGGCTTCTGCCTCGCCCAAGCCGAGGTTATTCAACTTTGAAATCCCAGGTTTTTCAAACAGTATGGCCTTACCATGGAAATATTCCTAAATGGAAATTCATATGCTGTTTGACCTCACTCCCCACTTTAGATGTGCTCCCTGAAGTTATGCACAGAGCACAAGCTGAATGACTTCCAACACAGTTCAGATATTTCCTTACTATCTTTACAATTTTAGGTATATTTTTGTACCCTAAGAAGCACATCATTAATAATAAAGCCCATACCTGAGACTGATCCACCACTTAACTAAAATGTAGAGAAAGAAATTTAGGTCTCAGGACTAGTTTCTTTGGCAATAAATGGACTAAACGACTGCTAAGATCCTTTTCAGGTCTACGGTTGCATGAATCCTTTCAACGAACAGTGTTTGGTCAATACTCAGTCTGCTGCATTCACTACTCGTATATATAACCCCAGGGAAAAAGTCAGCCCAAAATACAAACCATCACATGTTTCCTCAAAGTGTGGCCTGAAGTGGTACGAGAGCCACATTTGGCTACTGTAAAGACAAAGGCTTTCCACCTTAATAATTCTCTTATTATTTTATTGAGTATTAAGAATATTCAATTAGTATATTAAACCAGTGATTTCCTGCACACTGCTTCTTAGAATGAGCAAGAGGTAAAAGAAAGCAGAATCAACAAATAATAAATTTCAGTATAGTTGGTACTCACGAGTTACAAACACCATGAAGGTAGTATGAGAATGACAGAGACTACAGAAAAATAGGGCCACACAACCTTTACACGTTCGTGTATTCACAATAACGGGCCATATAACATCTATGTTCACTAGATTTTGTAAACAAGTCCACAAAGACTTGAAAGCTCAGGAGGAAGAGAAACAGCTGGCCCAGACTGGATCCTCAGATTTATTTTTTGCAATTTTTTCAGAACAACATCAAATATGAAATCTGTGAATTGTGAAGATCCAAAACAATGCCAAATATGGAAAATTAAATATTTATTATCAACTGCAAGATTACCTAACTTCTTCAGTGAGTTAAAAAATTATGGGATGGAGGTTAGACCCCCTATCCATCACTTAACAGCTCTTCACTTTGATCATTTAATATCTTCAAAATAATTCTTTTAAAAAACTTTATCTTAATTTCTCTTTTCTCCAGTATGATTTCTGTGTCTTAATTTTAAATCTCTCTTACCTTAATATAAACTTATTGCCTGTTACCTATTTTTCCTATAAACTTAATTACAAATGGATTGGCAATTAGTTACCATTATCGTCAATCTCCTCTCCAATATAGTCAACATCAATTGCTAATGATTTTTCCTTTAAAAAAAAATCAAACCTACTGTTAAATGAATTAATCACTCCAGTGTAGCTCATTTATTTACTGATACTATGGATTCAGTAATGGATGATGCTATAAAAAAATGACAATATATGGAGAAGGAAATGGCAACCCACTCCAGTGTTCTTGCCTGGAGAATCCCAGGGACGGCGGAGCCTGGTGGGCTGCCGTTTATGGGGTCGCACAGAGTCGGACACGATTGAAGTGACTTAGCAGCAGTAAGTAAGTCAAACAGAGAAAGACAAATATGATTTATGTGTGGAATCTAAAAAATGATACCAATAAACTTATTTACAAAACAAAAAACAAAAAAAAAATGACAATATAAAGTCCTTACCTCAGGCCTCAGAGAAGGAAGAATAACAATTTCTTGCAATGCTTGTTTTGCCAGCTCTTGACCAGCTATATCATCAAATTTAACAGCTGTTCCACTAAGAAACAGAATTTCAGTTAACTACACACAAAAACATTCTTCAGTTATTATAATATTAATTTTAAGCTCTATGTGATGTAGCCATTTTTATGTTAACTAAGAGTGAAACTATAGTTAAATCAGTAAAGCAATGGCTTTCTCATTTACAGTAATTGAAAACCATCATAAAAATTAAATATGTAAATTAGACAAGGTATTTATTATCCATTTTACTTATATTTTGCCAATAAAAAATGTTTAAACTCCATAAAACACTTTAGATGACAATACTTACTTGTCCACAATTTCATTCATTATAAGGTTAGCAAGGTTGCTGTCCACATTCCTAAAATTCTTCAAGTCTTTCTTTTTACGAGCAGCAGTTGTAGGGGTAGAAGGTTTATTTGTTCTACTTGTTTTTGGTGTACTCTTGGAAGGACACAAAATTTTGATGTGAAAACACAACATAATGTTTGCAACTTTCATACGTGAGTTAACTTTAATGTTCACAGAATTAAAGGGATAAAAGTAGCAAAAAATGGCCATAAAAACCCCCAAATTATATATTTACTCTAAGATAAATGGCATTCTCTATAGAACTATATTTGGCATGAAGTGGGTTTATAGAAGATTTAATCCAGAGAGATTTACTTACTATGAAATAAAAAGGCTCTCTGTGACAATACACTCACATAATTTTGATACTTGTTAGAACTGTAACAAAACTCTATGTATGTTTAATGTTATAAAACATTTATGTACATTTACATAATTATACAAATAACCAATTTAAAATGACCTATAGGGAATTTCCTGGTGATCTAGTGCTTGGAACTCCCTGCTTTCACTGCTAAAGGCCTGGGTTCAGTTCCTGGTTCAGGAACTGATATGGTAAGCCACACTTCATGACACAGCCAAATAAAGAAATAAAATAAAATTAGGAAGAAGACTGGATAAAGAATACATAAAACAAACTGGATAAAGAAACTTCCTGTTAAAAACACCTAGTTAGAGAGATTTCCTTCAAAGATAATAGAGGGGAAAAAAAATTTGCTTTTTAGTAGCAAGTTGCCTCTGCTACTTAGATTTTATTTTTTATTTTATTTAAAAAAATTCTGTTTATTTACTATTTGGCAGTACTGGGTTTTCACTGCAGCATGTAGTATCTTTTAGATGCAGCATGCAGGATCTAGATCCCTAACCAGGGATCGAACCTAGGTCCCCTGGCTTGGCAGTGCAGAGTTTTAGCCACTGGACCACCAGGGAAGTTCCTACTTGGATTTTTATAGATCTAAATTAAAAAAAAAAAAAGAAATCATTCAACTTTGTGGGAACTTATCAATTCTCTTAAGGTATTACAAAGTACTTATAATAAATTTAAGCAAGCATTATCATGTTAAAAATTTTGTGTTTGCAACAGCATGGAAACTGAAGTTACTGTCTCAAAATACCTTGTGCGTGGCAGCTGCAGAACCAGGTCCTTGTCTCACTCCGGAAACCATGGATAAACCACTGCAACTAGGTGCTCTATGGTGGCCTGAAAGACCTGTGGGTCCAGTTTTCATAACTGTTTTTGAGCGAGGCAGTGAATTACTAGCATGTGTTAACGGATCTTTTCTTTTTGGAACAGCTCCACTTTCTATCAAGGCAAAAATAAAGTCATCATGGTCAGAAAATTCTGGTTAAACATTATAAAAGTTAATGTAAGGACCAGTACAAATTTGAAAGCTAATAATATTATTTTTATTTCAGCAGTATCTCAAAATAAGACTTCAGTCAGAATATATACTAAAGTGTTCATAACGATTGTTACTGGGTGTGGACAAGATTATGAGTATTTAGCCTTTTCCTTTTCCTAGTGTATAACTTTCTTTTAAGAAATATGTATTTGTCATAAAAAGAAATAACTATTTGTGGGGGCAGGAGGAGGATACAAAAAAGGTACTAAGAAAATAAAGCTGCCAAAATTTTTTTCTTTTTTGTTTTGTTTTATTTAAAAGTTGCCAAAAATTAAAGAAACAAAATGTAGTAACGGCACTAGGGATAGGCTGTATGGGGGTGGGGGTGGGGACAAATAGCACACATCATTCCAAACTTTTAAGACTACGAAACAGAATGAAAATCCAATCTGTGCCACCAGATGAGTTTTAAAAGGTAATTTTAATTTAAAGAGTAAAAAGCTGTGGTTAATATGCCAAGTATTTCATGCTCTATCTATGTTACCAGGTGGCTCAATGATAAAGAATCCACCTGCCAATGCAAGGAGACACAGGAGATATGGGTTCAATCCCTGGGTCGGGAAGACTGCTCATTCAGTATTCCTGCCTAGAGAATCCTATGGTCAGAGGACCCTAGCAGGCTACAGTCCAAGGGGTGGCAAAGAGTCAGACATGACTGGGCATGCATGTGTGCACATATAAATAAACAAGTGTAAGATATTTTCTATTAAGTCTAAAAGGTCACATGACCTACCTACTCTGCTCTTCTACATCAATCATACATTTTAAATGTTCAAATCTCACCGCTTCTAAATAATATTTTCATATACTACATAACAAACATCAGTTTATTAACAGCAATGTTCACTGTTAAATCAGTCAGCAAATTAGAGTAGCCTAGAGAAAAGACTAGTGTAAAGACAAAAGCCTTATCGTTGCTTTGTCATAATATCCCTTAATACGGCTTAAGGAAACTCCAAACAAGGAGAACTTGCTTCCAGTGTAGGGGGCATGGGTTTAATCCCTGATTGGGAAACTAAGATCCCACATGCCACACAGTGCGGTGAAAAAAATAAAAAAATTTTTAAAGTACAGTAAAATAACCAAGGGTTCTTTTCCAATAAAAAACACAACGTTCTGTACCATTTGTTCAAGGAACCAAAGGATAAGGACTCTATAGGAAAAACCAGGAAAGCAATCCAGAAAAGAGAATGACAATTAAAAGCCAAAGTGTGAATAAAAGCAAGATCTGTCTAGGGTGATAAGTATTTATCACTCATTTCAAACGGAAAAAAGGAGACTGGAGAAGAATTTCTACAAACAGAAAATGTACAGTCCTAAGATTATAAATGGATAAGGTTTTTACAAGGAACTGTGACGATGATAGCAGGCTTCTCATAAAAATAACAAAGGTCAGCAGGCAACTGAGTATGCTCAAAATGCTGGAGGAAAAAACAATGTTAACTTTCAGGTGACCAGCCAAGTAAGAATGAGGGTATCTGCAGACACTAGGCTGAGAGAGTTTATTATCTACAAAACTTCATTAAAAGAAATGTTAAAGCAGGTCTTTTAGTTAAAAAGCACAGAAAAGAGTAAGAACCTATAATGTGAAGCTAGAGAGCAAGAAAAAAAAAATCAGACAGCTTGAAGGGAGGAAAAATGGAAACTGAGTTACAGCTGTAGAAAGCAGACGTCCTCACCAGGCGGTAGGGGCGGGGAGGGATAAACAGAGACAGGGACTGACGCATACACACCGCTCTGTATGAAGGAGACAGCTAATGAGAACTTAGTGCGCGGCGTAGCGAACTCCAGTCAATGTTCCCTAACGGCCTACACGGAAAAAGGGTCTAAAAAAGAGTGGCTATGTGTATAACTGATCCACTGGGCTGTACACCTGGACCTACTATAACATTGTAGATCAGTTACATATAAATGATTTAAACAAAAGTTTTAAATAAAAATTTAAAAAGAAATCTTTAAACTTTTTATTACATACGCATGTAGAAAGCAGTTTTCTTATGGTCTCCACTGCAAGTTTTCTGTTACAATTTGAACAAAGTAATATTTACTTTAATAAAGTTTAAGCACTGGACATAGAACTAATTCTGAAAAAGTTACCAATATAGACAAGATGTCAGAGAACCTAGGAAATGAAGATTCTTTCCACCCAAACAAAACATGACAAAAAAACATATAATTTTCTATAGGAGCTGATGTGACGCTCAAAGCTTATGGAGAACAAATTTAACTCATAGTAAATAATAGTACTCTAATGTTTCTCCTCACTGTGTGAACTCAGCTTCAAACTTTTTTCAACAGGGTTTATGATCAAATACTCATTCATTGTATAAAAGAAATGTATATGCATTGAAAACTGGTATATGATCAAAAAATTAAAATTATTGCCTCAAAAAACACTGCTCTATAAAAACCTGGTATAGGTACCCATAGGAAAAAACACCAAAGCTCAAAATAAAATAGAAACAAAAGAACATCTTAATAATTTAGGAAAATGAACCTTCACATTTTATCATCTCAAAACTTGGAGGCTGTAAAATATGCAAATATAACATGTTGAGAATGGCTACACCTATTTGTTACATGTTTACATAACCATGAATGACAAGGATGCTGTATTTTCTACACAGCCCTGTGCAAACAAAAACCAATCGAATCTATCACTGTAAAATCAAGTCAGCATTATCAGGTTAAGCAGGACTCTACTTTGCATGCAAGCTTTATTATTTGACATGTTAGTTAACCTAAACCCACCTGACTGGAGATGTCCATTACGGCATGTCAAGTTAGTACTGTCATTATAGACGTCCGTTTGTGACTTGGAAAATTGCAAACTTGGTTGCAGCTTCTCTATGCAACAGAGGGGGGTGCAAAAAAGAAAAAAATAAACAAACAGGGAACAACATAATAAAAAATGTTTATGTGAAAATTAAAAATGATTCAAGGTGTTAAAAAGTTATATAGTGAAGGGTTTTGCATTTATATAAAATTATCTTTAACAACATAACTAATTAGCAAAAACTCAGACATTAAAATAGCAACAGAAATAAACAAGTGAATGACTATGTTCAAAATATGCATTATTCAGGTTTGGTAACCCGAGGCAATTCTATAACACTACCATCACCAGTAAACATTTCCTGAATATCTAATACATCCAAATCATTGTATCTGGAGAACAGGATAGAATTAGAAAGAGAACATCAAGAAGACTTTACAGAGAAAGTGGGCTGTGAGTTGGCTAGGATCTGGAAAGATTAAAAAAAAAAAAAAAGGACATCTCATCAGCAAAAAAGAAATGCAATAAAGCAGAAAGGAGGAATAAGCAAGCTGCAGAACTGTGTGTACAGCACCCTACCACTTATTTAAACACACATGTATATTTGTATATATAAAAATTCTCTCTAAAAAACACCCAGAGAAGCTGGTAAATACTAGCTGCCTCTGGGGAGGGGAAATGAGTAGCTGGAACATAGTATGGGATGGATGCTTTTCCAACTTCTCAAAATTTTTGGCATGTGCATATAGTATCTACTTTTAAATTAATCAAAGATTTTAAAGGATTATTTCAACCCTACCCCTCCCCTCCCAGTTCAAATAACAATGTAATCCTCTCAAGATCTGGGTCTCTATATCTAGGACCTGAAGCCCCAGAGTGTAGCGGTTTGAACTTTCTCGCCACCCTATGTCACGGCTGCACCCTTTCCCCAGTCAAGTCACCCCATATTGCTAACCAATGATCACCGTGCTCCACCACTCATTCACTAGTATGAACTTGCTTCAGCATCAGTTTTCCAAGGGTCTCAAGGATTAAATAAACTAATACATAAAGGACCTACCTGGGCTTCATTTATATTAGGGTGAAATTTTGACCATATTTATTTTACTGAAATACTCCAAGTTATCATTACTGATTCTTTAATTATTTATTTTTATTTACTTATTTGGCTCTGCAGGATCTTAGCTGCAGCATGTGAACTCTTGGTTGAGGCATGTGGGATCCAATTCCCTGACCAGGGACTGAACCCAGGCCCTCCTCATTGGGAGCACAGAGTCTTAGCCACTGGACTGCCAGGGAAGTCTCTCATTACTGATTCTTATCTCCAGTACTAAGAAGTCAACGAAGTGTAGCACATATATACTAACTCTCTTAAACTTCATTTCTAAGGTCAGACAAGCAGGCGCTATGCTTGGTTTATGGCACACACACACACGCCTTTGGGACAGGTTAAATAGCAGCTACCCTCTCTGCACAAAGCACAAAGCTTTTGTATCCTAGAACTGGTTGATACAATATACCTTGGAGCCCTTTTATTGTTGTTAGTTAACAGATAGGTCATCTGATTTTTCTCAAAGATAATACTCTTCAAGACACCATATTGAGAAAGAAACTATTTGTGTTGTTAAAGACATAAATTAGAAAAAACTGATTTGTAAACGTCTTATTTATCAATTAACACTCTCTTCAACATTCTCTTCAATGTTAACAAAAAGGTCACATAAATATTCATTATATAGCAAAAAGAAACAAATCCTTAGTTCTGATAACAAAGAATAAAAAACCACAGAACTTGTTTGTAGGGTTTACATTTCCATGTGTGAAAATGCACACATATACAACAGCAGGACACACTAATGCGGATCTGTTCCAGTTCATTTTTTTTTTTAAGAAAGTAAACTTAGTTTAATGCTTCCTTTTAGAATGACTAAAGGTCATACAGATTAACCAATGATGTCACATAAAACAAGTCACCTTGCTTCTTGATCCCCTCATGGGCAACCCCCACATAATCATCTCAGTGATCTACTTAGAAGGGAAATCTTACCACATAACTGGTGGACTTAAAACCCTTTAGCAGCTTCCTGCTGCCCACAGATCAGCACTGAAGCTCCTTGACATGACCAGCAAGGTCTGCCACGATCTGCCTACACTTCTCATGCCTGAGCAATCCCAAATTCATATCTCCATCAGCACCATGGTTTTCCTGATCCCTCAGTCTATGTTCATGCTGTTAGTTCCTCCCGGAATATCCTTAGTCCCAAAACTTTTATGTATCTTTTTAAAACGCCACTTCAGGTTTTACTTCTTCCACAAAGACTTCTCAGACGTGTGTTTTCCCATCTCCACAAAATACACATATATCTCCATCCTGCAGTGACGATTTATCTATTTATGCCTCCTTCACTATATCAACAAGAGCCTTAAACAGAAGAATATTTCATCCAATCTGTTGGTAAATCTGTTTGCTCAACCTTCAAATACAATACTAATTCACCTGATGGTTACTCCTGGTATCACCCTAGTACAAGACTCCATTTTCCCCCTAGCTTACCATAACAGTTGTCTTACTTATACTCTTGCAACATCACAACCAGGGATCCTTTTTATACTGAGCTCAGATGATGTTAGTCCTTTCCTAAAAATCCTTATTACTGCACCCCCACTTCACACGTGGTAAAAGCTCAAATCTTCATAGTGCCCTCTAAAACCCTGCCTGTTGTCAAGACCCTCCCCTCGCCACCTCCACCATCAGCTCTTTGATCTCTACTATATTCTCGCTCCAGCGCACTGGTCTCTGCTGTGTGCTCAGTTATGTCCAACTCTTTGCCACCCCATGGACTGTAGCCCGCCAGGCTCCTCTGCCCATGAGGATTCTCCAGGCAGGAATACTGGAGTGGGTTGCCATTTCCTTCTCAACGGGGTCTTCCCAACCCAGAGATTGAACCCAGGTCTCCTGCATCGCAGGCGGGTTCTTTACCGTCTGAGTCACCAGGCAAGCTCAAACATGTCAGATGTATTTTCTTAAGACTTTGCATCAGCTCTTACTTCACAGACATTCTTCTCCCAGGCACTTGCAAGATTAACTGATGTCTGCTTCTCAGAGGCATACCCTGACCATCCTATTTAAAGCTAAAAACTCAGACCACCTCCCATCTACTCCTAAACCCTTGTACTGTATTTTATGCTTTCTTTTCTCCATGTATTTATCACCATCTAACACATGGTATAACTTGTTTATTCTGTATGTCTACTGCCTACTGTCATTATTCCTCCTGCTAGAATATAAACTCTATGACACAGGGATCCTTGTCTATATCCTACATGCTTACAATATGATAAGCACCCAATAAATATTTCCCAAGTTAAGAAATAAATTCAGTTTATATCCCTTGGTACTGTATCTGGTACAGAGTAAGGATTCAATAACTGGACACTGAATAAAGCTAAATTTTTTTAAAAGGGCAACTGCCAAGTATACCAAGAAGCCAGTGCCAAAATTACCTTTCTATTTATAGCAGCTTTTACACTTAACCTTTGCTCAAAGTTCACTTTGACTAAGTTAAAGATATATAATACATAGGAACTCTTCCCCATCTCTACCAGAGAAGATATATCCTCTCAAACCAGTCTGTGTGGGGAACTCCCAATATCATTCTCCATCCTAATTGGATACCTGTCAGCCATTCCACCTCTGAAAAGCTCCATTTTTAAAATAGCACATGATACTCAAATACACTCTATTGTGCACTTTTGCACACTTCGTCTTTACTGTCTTTTGTATATAACTCCCAGACACTGTGTTCTCAGAAGACAGGAATATGTTGATGATGTCTTTTATTCCACCCTCTCATTTTTAAAGTAACGTCTTTCAAGAATGGACATATCATATTTTTGATAATAGACAACAGCAGCATCCAAATATTAATTCTATTAATACCTAGCTTCATGATATATTATTATATACCCTTTTTGTCCATTCTTCTAATAACACACAAAAAAATTACAAAGCTCCATTTAAAGACAGGTATACAAACTGATGAGCTGCTTCTAATGTTTTACCATATCACAACTTACAATAAAAGATTAAAAACCAGCTATTGTTCAATTTGAAACAGGTTATAAAATGTTCCATAATCAAACAATCTACATCACATATACTGATACTCTGTATATATACTACAAGGTGTTACAGCTAAAACACATAGAAGGGACCAATTAGAACAACTAGGTAATTATTTTACTACAACAACCCTTGATATACTATAACACAGTAACCCCCACTTAAGAAGGCAAACCCTCTCAGCCACAGGAGCCAGGGGAACACTGAAAACAGTAAGGCCTTCTTTTTCAACAATGTAGGGAAAAATTTACAAACACAAGAGACAATGTAAGAATGAATGGATGAATGATTGAATGAATAAAATACAAATGTATATGTATCTACTCAAAAGCAGGGGTGGTGATTACACACAGGGAAGGAGATGAACAAAAACCAGCATTTCTGAGCACTTGCTTACTCAACAATTCATTGGTCACAAATATGGTGAGACAATAATTATCTATCAGCTGCATGTTACAAATGAAATAAAAAAAGACTGAGACATGCTAAATAACTTATCAAAGTCACAGAGCAACAAGTAAAGTCTGCCTGTTTGCCAAGTTTCTATACTATCTATACCACTTCAAGCTATGGTAGAATCAACCATCCAAGAAGGGTGGGTTTTAGTTCCCCTTTGTTTGAAAGGTAGATTTACCATAACATATTTTTAAAGCCTATACCATCAAATAGAAAATAAGAAGTTTCTCATTATAGTCCTTTTCCAACTGATAAACACAGAAAGAATGACAATTACAATGTCACTGGGCACAAGTCATCAACTGCTACTAACATCATTAAGAACTACTGATGGATAAACACAAAACCACCTATCAAGCAGTCTTATCATTAAGAAATAAAAAGCTACTTTCAATCCAATTAAGGCTTTATAGTCATATCAATTTATAGGGAGGACAAGAATATATTAAAAGATAACATGGATATATATGCAGCAAAATACAGACTATAGGAAAAACTATGTGGCAAAGATTTGGTTCATAAATAAGTCGCAAGAAAAAGAAAAAAACAGATGTGTATATTAAAAAAGACATATAGTATGGATCTGCTTGAGATCTGGATTCAAACAATTATAAAAAATATAGTAGCAGTTATTACATTATGAGATACTGACTGCACAGTATGTATTAAATCTAGAAACTGACCTTTTTTGGCTATTACTTTTATGTTTGTTATTAAAAGAACTATTTTTTTAGGCGTGATAATGGTATTTTGGCAATTTTCCCCCCCCAGCGGTCATGTCCACGACCCCATTTAATACAGCTTCCTCAGAAGGAGGAATCATTACCTTCATTACCTATAATGAAATGAGTTTTCTTTTTGAAGGTTCCAAGTACCAAGCAAAGTGAAAAATACAAATGATACACAGGAGATAGGGAAGAAGGAAAAGAAGGGAAACATAAGAAGGTACATTCTTCTTCTCACTTTGGGAATTTCATTTTTAAAGCATCTTTATCTCTTGAGATACAATATAAGATAGTTATAAATGAAATAAAAAGATATCAAGAAATAGTTTCAAAATAGTAATATGAAGCTGGGGGAAGCGGGCAGGGATATAAACTGGGGTTTGCAAACATTTTTTTTTTTAAAGAGCCAGAGAGTAAATATTAAAATATTTTCAAAAGTTATATATTAATTGGCTTTGCAGGCTACATGATCTCTGTATCAACTCCTTAATTCTGTCACTGCAGCACAAAAGCAATCAGATAATATACAAAGAAATGAGAGTAGCTTTGTGCCAACTTATAAAAACAGGCAGTGAACTGAACTGAGTCCATAGGCTATAGTTTGCCAATCTTGAATCAAGGCCAATGATAAACTGATAATTACCAAAGTTGAGTGATAGATAATTAGTTCAATATGCTCTTTTCTGTATTTTAGAAATTTTCATGAGTTAAAAAAAAGACTAGAACATATTTTCAAGTGTGTTATTGTGTGATCATTGATCCAGTGTGATCACTGATTTATTTCTAACTACATTTAGAATTTCACTAAACACAGATTTCAAATGTATCTCATTGCAGTTACACAATTCATTAATTGATACCTAATAGTTGTAAACGGTCCTTGGCCATAACTAAATTAGTCATCATTTTAGCTTGAAGGCGTCTAGCTCTTTCACACTGTTCGCCTGAAAGAAAAAGCAGAAAAAAATAATTAAAATATCTACATTTACCTACTAATACTGCTTCAAAATAAATTATCATAACAACTAATCTCAAGAGAAGTCATTGTCTTTATAAAGAAATTAAGAAAATATCATTTTCAAATAATATCTTTAAAAAAATCAGTTACAGTTCCTTATGATAGTATCAGACTTAGTGTAGTATTTCATGGATTTCATGGGTTATGAGACATATTTTTTCCCCTACATTTAAAAATCTCTGAAGTTGGGAAGTGTTTTAACACCAGTGCCAACCTACTAATGCCATCAGCCAGACTGCAGTCACAACACAGCTTATCACTGCCTCTGCATGCAAAAATTTGGTTATAGATATTAATGTTTCTATTACAGCTATATCTAAATAAGATCAAGACAGCAAATTGAATAAGGTTGAAATTCAAATTCTATGTGATAAGAAGAGAATGTGTTAATAGTTTAACTGACTTTTTTTTCTCTCAGTGGTACAATCGAAAGCATCTTCAATTCAATGAAATATTTTTCTCATAACTAACTCATTTTCTTTGACCTCTTCTATACATTTGACAAAAAATAGTAAATATATTTTGTACATAATTTATAAAGTGATGCTCATAAACTCATGAAAGTCTCCAAGACCCAATCTCCCATGTTTACTTGTTCTGCTCTCTTATATATAGAAGACCAGTAGCTAGAGAAATAGTCAAAATAAAAAGGAGACAGAAAAAATCATGGTAAATATTGAACACATTGTAGTTATTGGAGATTACCTGATATAAATTATAGAATCAGTCAGCCAGATAAAATATCTATTGGGTGGATTGATCCCTAAGGCTAAGATTCTTAGCCCATGTATTATAATTTCTGCTTCTGAATTTATTAGAGCTATGACAGCCAAAGTACTTTACTTATTTAATAGTGTGACATATCACAAATATTCACGTACAGTATTTAAGAATTCAGGTTTTGAAGCCAGACTGCCTGAGTTCAAATCCTGACTCTACCTCTTCATACCTATGAGACCTCAGGCAAGTTATTTAACTTCTTCCCACTTAAGGTTTTTAATCTGAAAAATAAGGATAACAGTAGCAGCTTCAGAGTGTAGGGCTGTGGTGAAATTAAAAGAGATGATAAGTATGAAGCACATAAAATGATGCTTCGGTACACAGTGTGTGCGCAAAAATTGTTTTCTATATATTTAATTATAATATTAGACTCTGATTTTTAATTTGATGTGACAGAAAAGATGAAAAATAACTACTTTCATTTTAAAAGGTCATGTGTAAAAAAAAAAAAACAACATTACAGCTCATATTCTAACATGCAGTCAAGCATTACCCACAGTGCAAAAGGGGGATCTGTGGATTAACTACTCCTTCCCTGCCTTGACAGAGAGAAAAGGATGAGGTTTCAAAGACAGGGCTACAAATAAGGTTAAAATATCATGAATCATGGTTCCAAGGAGGACACAAGTAATATACTATTTTTTATCTTACTGCTATAGGCAATCAAGTTTAAGCATATTTGATCATAACTTCGTTTTTAGCACAGGTAATAAAGCATTAACTGTTAAGTCTAGAAAGATCAACAGTAACATTTAAAAATCTGTTAAATAATTTTATTTAGATAAACATATCTGAAATCAGGGCAATCATATGAATATAATTTGGGATGCCACTAAATAAATGTAAATACAACCTTACCTTGTCCTGTAACTACGACAGCTATTCCTTTTTCTAGTTCTTCAATACCTTTCTTATACCATTCCACAGCCTGGTCCTTTTGTCCTACTTTAAAATAAAAATAATAATTTGTATAAATCATATGTGTGTCTGTGTGCATGCGCTAAGTTGCTTTAGTCGGGTCTGACTCTGTGTGACCCCATGGTCTGTGTAGCCCACCAGCCTGCTCTGTCCATGGGATTCTCCAGGCAAGAATACTGAAGTGACTTGCCATTTCCTTCTGCAGGAGATCTTCCTGAGCAGGAAGATCCGGGAAGATCTGGGTCTCCTGGACTGCAGACAGGTCCTTCACTGTCTGAGCAGCCAGCGAAGCCTGACCTAAGGACACACCAAACGCTCTCGAAAGCACGCTCTTTTCAGGAGACGCACAGAAACAAGGGGGACTGTGATCAAGTAAGCTTGAGAACTGCTACTCTGTGACTTTTTAGTACTTTAGCATCCTAATGAATCAGTGGCTCTGCAAGAGAGGAATACATACATCGATGTTTCTCAGTTTCAGAGCGGAGAGTCTTTTGCTGTTTATTATCTCATGATATTAATGCTTAAAACCACTGTAATAGTGTGTTAGAGAAATAAACTTGACTCCTCAAGATTTTACTTTAGATGAACGGTTTTTAAAATACATACTGTTAGAAAACATAAACATGATTTCAATAATAATGAGAAAAAATAAGCACTGTTTAACTTAACTGTATTCAAATATGATGTAACATGTTCATTGTTGGGCGATCCTTTCAAGAGTTAGTTTTTATTTAACAAATGACAGTATCATGAGAACTGGCATGAAAGGTCGCAAGTGTGGCCATTTAGTAACACATTTCTATTTTCTTTGAAACATGACATTTATTCTTGATTCAAAATTAAGCTCTAAAAGGACCTAAAAATTCAGCATGATCAAAATATGTGTAGAATATTTCTTTAAAGTGGTAACAAGTATATGCAAATTTCATTGGTTTTTAAAATCAATTTCTTGGTCCTTAGAATCTGCAACACCTCATAAGTGGCTAATACAAAGACACAGTAAAGCAAACGTGGAAAACATCCATAAGAACTGCTTTTCGTTTTTCCCAACTCATGTCCCTATTTAATTAAAAACTCCCATGCTATTCTTCAATATAATTTGAAATGTCATCATCAATAAAATATCATGACTCTTGATAACAAAGAACAGATGAAGTCTTACTATAAACGTCACACAATAACTAAGAAATGCTGCTGGGCTTCACTGCTGGCTCAGTGGTGGGGACTCCCTCTGCCAGTTCAGGAGACGCGGGTTTGATCCCTGACCCAGGAAGGTCCCACCTGCTGTGGAGCACTAAGCCTGTGGCCACAGCTACTGAGCCTGCATTCTAGAGCTCAGAAGCCTCAACAACTGAGCCCAAGTGCTGCAACTACTGAAGCCCAGGCGCCTAAAGCCCGGGCTTCACAAGAGAAGCCTCCGCAGCGAGAAGTCTGCACACCACACCGAGCGGGTGGCCCCCACTCACCGCAGCTAGAGAAAAGCCTGCTCGAGAATGAAGACCCGGTACAGCCATAAATAAATCAAAAATTTTTCAAAAAAAGAAATGCTGTCCCCTTATCGGTGTGTACCTCCGACCACCTTCCTTCGCCACCTCTCAAATAAATCACTAACTAGACTCGGCCCCTTAGGGGACTTTCTCTCTTAGTATGGTGCCATTAGTATTTTACAGTGCCTGATCCAGAATAAGTGCTCCACAAGTACTTGATAATGACACATGAAGAAATTAGTAAGCATTTAAGTCAATTCAAACTATGTAGATGCTTACTTTCCAGTGTTTTGTTAAAAGAATCTGTTTACATTTTTGGTTTTATAATTTAAAAAAGAAGCAAACTACAAAAATCAGTAAATAGCATTTGCATTCTAAGTGGTAGGACTGTTGATAATAATGTCACATTTGCCTTAGAATTTTAAAAACAAAGTGCAATTTAACAGATACAACAGAAGTTCTTCCCTTTGTTGCTCCTCTTCCCATTTCCATGCTCCTTTCCTTCCCAGAAATCAGTGTTATTGAGTGCCTATATTACTTGTACATTTTTTCTATTGTTCCTATTTTATTTCTATCACTTTAATTTAAACATACACATTGTTTCTGAGATCTATGTAGCTATATAGAGATCCAGTTCATTCATTTTGACTTCTGTATAGTATCCTATCCTATAGTTTATTTCCTATGAAAAGATATGTAAGTTTTCAGTTTTCCAATATTTCAAATAATGTTCGAGTAAACAGTCTTGTACTTGTCCCTTTATATACATGTGTCAGTTTCTCTAGAGTATATACACATATGCTTAAGAAGTAGAACTGATGAGTCATAAGTTCATCACATATTCTCCACTAACCGGAAATCAACAAAATGGTTTTTGAAAGTGCTTGTGCCAATTTATATTCCTATTAACAGTGTATGACCGTTCTCACTGGCAACATCTGAACAAAATCTTTTAATAAATTTTACCACATTACACAGAGGCAAGTGATATGACTAATTCTGTACAAATAAACTCACATGCTCAATAATTACTCAATTACCTAATATTCTTTGGTAATAGGAAGTTGATTTACTGCCTTATTTGAATCTCGGATGTCAGTATGATAGTAGAAAATGAAAATGCATAACCTCTTATCTAAAAGCACAAGACCACTGGAGAAAGGAGAGATGTATAAATCAATGGGACAGAAATACAGAAATAGACCCATACAGACATTACTGATCTGACTTTGACAAAGATGACAAGGTAATTCAAAGGAGAAAGAAGAACTTTTTAAAAAAACGACACTGGAATAACAGGTATCTATAAGCAAAAAAACTTCACATGACATACAAAAATTAACTTAAAATGGGTTATAGACCTAAACGTAAAACCTAAAAATATAAAATTTATAAAAGAAAACAGACAAAATTCTTTGTGATCTTGGCTTTAGGCCAATCACAAACCTTAACAAGAAAAATTGATAAACCAGACTTCATAAAAATTAAAAGCTCCTTCCCTTCAAAAGACAGAGTTGGCAATATAAAGACAAGCCACAAACCGACAGGGAGAAAATATTTGCCAACAATATGTCTCATAAAGGTCTTGTAACAGAATATATACAGAACTCTTACAATGATATTTTAAAATCATTAAAAAATAGTGTGCAAAAGATCAAAACATACACTTTACCAAAGAAGAGAGCACACGAAATGATGTTCAACATCATTAGCTATTAGGGAACTACAAAACTACAAGATTTCAATTTTGAATGGAAAAAATTACAAGACAAAGTATAATGAATTTCTCATACATTTGCAACGGTGACTATAAAATCAAACAGCCATTTTGGAAGAGTCTGGTAGTTCCTCACAACATTAACATATTCTTACCACATGATTTAGCTCTTCTACATATTTACCCTAACAAATTAAAACATCAAAGACCTGTACATGAATGTTTACCAACTTTATTCATAAAAGCTAAAAACTGGAAAAAACCCAGATGTCCACCATTTCGTGAACAGATTAACAAATTAGGGTACAACCATACACAGAATACTACTCAGCAATAAAAAGGAACAAAATACTGATGCATGTGGGAACAGAGATGAATCTCAAAACATGCTAAGTGAAAAGAGCCTGACACAAGAGGCTACACACCGCATGATGCCACTTACAGGACAAGCTACAGTGACAGAGCAGATTGCTGACGGCCAGTGGCTGAGGGGAGGGCAAAGGGGCCTAGAAAGAGACCCAAGGGGGCTTCTGCGGCGACAAAACATTCCACAGGCTGACTGCAGTGATAGTTTACACAACTGTTTGTCAAAACTCACTGAGCTACACAGATCCCTAAAAAAGGCAAGCTTTACTGTATGTAAATTATACCTCAATAATTAAAAGTGCAATACTCTAACATTTAGATATAAGAACAATTATTCTGAGTTGGATAGTAATACCAGAGCTAAAATTGTGATTACAAGAATAAGATTAGAAAAGAAAAACTAGAAAAGTATTTTAAAAACATCCATTTGAAGGGATCAGAGAGTTTTCAAAACAGTGAACATTACCAAAATTTGGAAGGAGAGATCATTTTAGGCCCATTAGGATGGTTATTTTGAAAATTACCAAAATATGAAAAAGAGAAACGCTAAAGAGCTGAGTCTACCATCCGCTAAAGAGCTGAGTCTACCATCTGGGGCACGTCTCTGCTTTAAGTGAAATGAAAGTAGCTCAGTCGTATCTGACTCTTTAAGACCCCATGCCTGCTGGGCTTCTCTGTCCAAGGAATTCTCCAGGCAAGAACACTGGAGTGGGTAGTAGTTCCCTTCTCCAGGGGATCTCCCCAACCCAGGGACTGAACCCAAGTCTCCTGCATTGCAGGCAGATTCTTTACCATCTGAGTCACCAGAAAAGCCCAACACTGGAGTGGGTAGCCTATCCCTTTGCCAGATCTTCCAGACCCAGGAATCAAACCAGGGTCTTCCACATTTGCAGGCAGATTCTTTACTAGCTGAGCTACCAGGGAAGTCTGTCATCAATTCTGAATGCGAATGTGACCAGACTCGTGGAACTAAGTTGACAAAAAATGAATTCCAGGGCATGCCCAGGAGAATTAGTGGTAAAGATTCTTAGATTTTGATTGGGCCTTTACATCAGTGAAAAAGGCTAGCTTGCATACAGACTGACACCAACACTCAAATCACTTAAATCCCTTAAGTTAGGGGAATCTACAGCCTATAACCTTCGATGACCACCCTACTGACTAAATTTTTTATATATATTTTTCTTTTTGGACACATCACACAGCTTGTAGGATTTTAGTTCCCCAGCCAGTGACTGAACTCAGGTCCCGGCAGTGAAAGCATCAAGTCCCATCTATGGAACCGCCAGGGAATTCCCCCTTTTGACCAAATCATGGCAGAAAAATAAAAACTTATAATGATCTCCAGCACACAAAAGGCCTTCAGGATACTTTAGCAGTTCTTGGTTTCCCTTATACATCTCCCTCTCTCCTATATGGGCCCCAATAACATTCAAACTCAACCAACAAGACTACAT